AAAATTTGAAGCTTAACCTTTACTCTCCGTGTTGCATACAAAATACATTCATTCAAGTTGAAAAAAAACTGAAATGTAAGTAAATTTGTTCTGATCACATCTCATTTACTCAAACATTTTAAAATATTCAAGCAGTATTCTTGTAATGGAAGAAAATGGATATCCACGGAATTTCATCAAAAGACATATACCCCCAAGCCAACCTATCAAACCAAAAGCCCTCAAGGAAACCACAAAAAGTCTCTCTACCGTATATATAGGACATCTGAGAAATCACTACACGACTCTTCAAACCTTTAGTAATTAACGTCTCACACAAACCAACGAAGTCAATTCCCTCAGACAGCCAGCCCTGTGTCAACCAAAAGACTCAACAATGAAACAGGACATAATCAACATCATCTACAAAATAAATTACAATGACTGAGAAAAACACTACATTGGACAAAGTGGACTCCTATCCTCCTCATCTTTGTATCCATGATCAGTAAACTAGCCGTCAAAAGACATGACGTCCACTCCTCATATAGCCTCACTACATACAGACAACCACGGACATCAGTTTGACTGGGACAACCAACAGACAGAAGAAACACCAAGAATGTTGGAGAATTTTCAGAAGCCTCCTTAGTATTCCAGTGAATCATCAATCAATAGACACATCGAGATTGACAAAATTTACCAACCAACTGATAAGAAGGGAATTTCACACACAAAGGGTCAAAGTTCATGTCAAGAAAACAATCACTTCCAATACAAGTAGGCTAGAGGGTGTGCAAACGCAGAAAACAAAGAAAGGTTCACGTTCAAGGTCACCCACCAGGAGAGATGACTAATCGTGAACTCGTGGAGGAATCTAAAAGCTGACTTCGATTCAAATTGAAGTATTAACTGAAGATGTAGCCTAGTACGACGGGCGATGAAAGCTTCGCAGATTGACTATTCAGCTCAGAAACCACAACACATTAAAAGCAGTATTCTTTGTCTGTGTGCAATTTTTTAGCTAACAATAATGTCTGATTATATAAAGTTGTTAACCTTGCCTTGATTTTTGGTTTTATAACCAGTCGTAAGCTCAGAAAGGTATAAACAGAATAGGATTCTGCCAGCTCAACGAATCAACTAAGAACCTATTACCCAGCAAATATGCAGAAAGAAATAGAGATGGATTGAAAACTCACTAAAGAGTCAATCAAGTGATATCACTCTCATGACTGTCTAGTGGAAACTGAACGGGGGAAAGGAGAGTTAAACCTGTGTATGAGGATGGCATGAAGAAGACTATATACGTGGAGGCAATGAAATCTTATAGGCCAACTAGCACGAAATCTTAGTCGAAGACTTCCTGTGGCCGATTGCTTCCAACCATTTAATATCATCAAATCAATGTGTACCATCATGGCGAGCTACATTGCAAAACCTGACTGATAGAATTCACCGTGCATCAGAGAAAAGACTAGACACATCACACTAGTTACTGTCTAGTGTTCAATCAAAGTTTCTAATACGCTCCTGCAGGAGGTGAATCACGAGCTCAAATAGCTCAATGGTAACCTCTCTGACTACAGCAGAAGGTGAAGCGAGTTTGAATTTCAGAAGGGACAAGAGTTCCTTCAAAGTGACTGCAGATGCACCTTTCTAACTAACTGGTGGGCGCCAGTAATCACGAAACCTAGGTGAAGCGGGGCTTCCAGTGGCCGATTGCCCCCAACTACCTAATATCATCAATCCTGTAGAGAAAAGCTGTGAAAGAATGAACAAATCACAAAAGCAACTGGCCTTCACATATAACATATAATGTAACATTTTACTGACTAAATACTTCACTTCTGATTCACTTTTAGCTTTTTAAAATTCACGCTTTTAGTCAGACTATTTTTGCATAGCTTCAATAGATTGTTACAAGATAAAATGAGTCATATTCAATTAATTGAATACCATGCAATACAAAATGGGAATGTCTCGTTAAAGTGATTAAATGAAAGAAATGAAACATGATAGACAAATAATGAATATATATATGTTGAAATATTGGAACAATTCAAAAACAGCTACAACAATAACAAAAGCAAATGCTTTCTTTAGTGCCTCATTTTTAAATTGAAAAACAAAGAACAAAAATAAATGAAGCACCCTTTTTAATAAGACTGAAACATGAAGAATCTTCAGCCAGGAAAAAACTCTCCAAGAAAAGCTGACTTGAAAGACTATGGATAATTGGGCGTGTTGCTGAAGAGTCTCAAACTAGGACGAAACACCTATCCATTATTCCCAGGTTTTCCAATGGTTCACATACTGATATCAGCTCAGGAGGAAACCCTCCAAACAAAGAAAATGTATTCTTACTATTGAGTTAAGTTTGAGACTTGAAGTTTGTGACTTACTAACTAATAATGTAAACTTCTAATCCTTATTAATACTATCTTCTTTATTTCCTTGAGGAACATACGGATTCAGCCACACGTCTCCATTGCATCCGGTTCTTTTCCAACGTTTTCACCTAGCTCCACGTCTGCACACATCCTTTCACATCCCCTATTCACATGACCTTCTCCATGTCACTCTCGTAATGACGACCAACTCGCCGCCGCCAATTCTGGTTACACTCGAGCGATGGCCTGGAGTGTAATGTCACTAGATGCCTTGTTTTCTTGGAGTATAGCCAATTCACCTACATTTATTTCCGCATATTTGTTGGTCAATCGGTTCCTGATTGGTTCAATCATTGCCAGAAATCCCTGTTGCTGGTCTTTTCTAGCCATTTGATCTTTAGTAGTGAGCGAAGATATATGTTGATGAAAGTTTATCGTTTGTTCGAAGTGTCCTTCGTGACTCGCCAAGTCTCTGATCAGCATTGTAGCACAAACTTCAAAATGTTATCGAAAATCCGGATCTAATTTTTCAGGCTGATTGCTATTGATCTCCACACAGACTTGAGAGAAATGAAAACCTGCCTTGCTTTCCCGATCATCGCTTTGATATCCTCATCAATTCCGTCCACCTGCATTTGAAACTGTGATTCCAAGGTACGTAAAGGTGGTCACCTCTTTCAGATTCCTCCCATTCATGTTCATTGTTGTCTGTTGTTGGTGCTCTTGCTGTTGCTGTTGGCTAGGAATCTTCATCACCTACTTCTGTTTTGCCTATGTTCACGTGGAGCCCCATCTTCTCTGGGTGCTACTTCTACCAATGTTTTGCTTTTCATTTGTATATCTTCCAATTTGTGGGAAATCAGACATATATCACCATCGGTGAAGTCCAGATCCTTCAAGTATTTTGTGTGGGCCCATTTTATACCTGTCTCCTCGCTGCCCGCCACTGCCTGTCACATTATCCAATCTACTGCAATCGGTAAAGTCATTGGCGATAGTAGGCAGCCTTGCCTCACTCCCGTCCTCACTTCGAGGGCTTCCGTGAGTTTCCCGTTGTGGATTACTTGGCATGCAGCACTGTCATAAAACTGTTGGATGAGATGTATAATTGTCGGTGGCACCCTGTAGTAGCGAAGTAGTTGCCAAATCACCTCTCCATTGACGCTGCGCTATCGAAGACCTTTTTAAATAAATGAAGTTGAGATCGAGAGGTGATTGCCATTCCAAGCTTTGTTCAATGATGATCCGTAATTTTGCGATTTGATCGATGCATGACTTGTTTCTCCTAAATCCAGCCTGTTCCGGTCGAAGTTTTTCATCCAGGTTGGCTTGTTTGATTCTCTCCAGGATGATGCAGCTTAGTATTTTGCTTGGGATGGACGAGAACATCATGCCGCGCCAGTTCTTGCATTGACCTAAGTTCCCTTTCTTTGGCAGTTTGAATAAGTATCCTTGCCCTCTTTCCAAACCTTCTTCAGTAGTGGTATCGTCAGGTTCGCTGATGTCTCTGGTTCTATCTTCAATAGTTCTGAGGGGATTTCGTCCGGCCATCCAGTCCTTAGTTTAACTAATTCTTACAACATTTGTCTGACTGACCTTTAACAGTGAAATTTGCGTCGAAGTGTGGCGATTCAAGTTGTCATACTCTTTGTAGCACACAGAGGAAGAGAAAAGAAGAAGATAAATTCGAAAGAACTAATATTATCAGAAATTCACGGGAAACAGAATAGTGATGTTATGGATTTTGGAAAATAAAAAGAGTCTATGCCTATGCATCGTTCAGACCGACTTTAAAACATATTACTAGTAGTCTCCAGTCATTGATTCTTCACGTCTCGAGGATCTCGACCAGCTTTCCAATCTAGACTTCCTAACATGGATCAAACCAATGGCAAAAGACTCAAATGAATTGATGCCAGCTTTCACTTTGGTTATCCCTAACTCTTTTAAAACACAATCCCAAATAAGCCAACATTGCTAGACATGGATGAAGGAGACTAGACATGTGTAACTATTATGTACTCGTCGCCAAATTATTGTTATGTACTGGTCGAGAATTTAATAGTCCTGACGCAAGAAAGACGGAAATCAGAAGACCACTAGGTTTGCGATGATACTTCTATTTTCCAAACACAAGGAGAATCAATATGTCACACAAGAGTGTGAGAGCAAAAATATATCAGAATGTCCGAACAAGTGTGTGAACACAAGTGTGTGAGCGAATATTCAAAATGAACAAATCAATAGACAGTCTTAACATGATTGGCTAATTACAATGGAATATCGATCCATGTATACATAGTAAAATATATCAGACTGTCAAACAAACACACATATTATATGGATATATATCACCAAGGACAGACTGTCAACAAACACACATATTATATGGATATATATCACCTCCCCTTTTGAGAAGATTGATGATTAGTAGGTGTTTTCCTGGGGGTTTATCTGGAACCTTTGAGCTTGTTGTTGACGTCTGTCGTTTCGTCTGCCTGTTGGGTTTGCGGCTTCGGCTTCGTCCGGAATTGTCTGACATTTTATGCTTCTTGACTGCATTGCATAGCGAATTTAGTGGGACATCAGCCAGATGCAAACGATCGAACCAATCAAGTCCCAAAAGATTTAAATCACTCTTGGTGACGTAGCAAATTCCTGTGAATTTGGTATTGCGGAAGAAACAGAACATTTGAGTTCACCAATTAGTTTGAGCCGCCCACCACAGGCGCTGACAGCAGTCTGAGAAGTATTTGCGATTGGTGGTCTGCCAATATTATTCCAAAGTTTCTCTGATATAACAGTAATATCAGAGGCGGTATCTAGCTGCAGACGTGTATCATGACCATTCATCTGAAGGTCAATATATTTCCGCATACCTGGTGTTGTGACTTGACAGGTTGCGAGTAGACTCAATGATCTCCTTGGAGATTTAGGACCAACAGTTTGTCGAGCTTTCGCTGGATTATGATATCTGGGTTTGCGTGGCTGACAAAAACCATTTTTATGACCAATGATTTTGCACTTGCTGCAACGATGATTTTTGTATGGACAAGACTTTACAAAGTGCCACGCGCCACAATGCCAGCATGGTGATGGTGGGGTCTTCTTTGCAGTATTTTGTGAAGTTGGACGAGTATGTGTAGATTTCCGCGGAACATTAGGAGAAGGTGGGTCAGGAGTGGATGATGAGAGATTTTTGCTCTTTCGTAATGCATGAATATCAGAGCTTCTCGAAGGTGTTGATTCGACCAGGTGTGTGTCTTTCTGCAAATTAATCAGCCGTTGATATTCATCAGCTATGTCATGTAATGTTAACTTAGGATTTTGTTCTAGCTGATTGAGCAGTCGAGTTCGGATATCTGTGAAACGAGGAGATTGAAGACTGCATATGAGAATCAAGGCTTTGAATTGATCATCTGTTAAGGACCTGAGTCGAAATCTCTCACATTCTCGGTTGACTGTGCCAACGTGAGTAAGAAAATCATCATTTTCATTCATTGTCAGCTTGAGGCAACGATAACGTATGCTGAATAATGAGGAGTGGTCTCCAAAATGTTCACGCAGCAGCTTTATTGTATCATCGAAACACTTGTCACGTGGTTTCTGGGGTAAAATTAGGTTGCAGTACCGTTCATATTCTGCGGACCCAATTTACGTAACAACACTCGCACCTTCCAAGCATCGTCTTGTGAGGCGAGATCAACAGTGAATAAATCCTCATAACGTTGATACCATGTGTCAAAAGTGACATTAGCATCTGGATCATAATTGAACTGTGAAATACTATTCACAATGCCGTCGACAGATGGTAGCATGGTATGATTGGATTGCTTGAAGGTGAAGTTGGACCAGTCTGTTGGTTGACGAACATTTCCATTAATTTCATTTGTCGTTCAAATAGTAATTCCAATTTAGAAGGATCCATAGTTTTCCCCGTCGCCAAATTATTGTTATGTACTGGTCGAGAATTTAATAGTCCTGACGCAAGAAAGACGGAAATCAGAAGACCACTAGGTTTGCGATGATACTTCTATTTTCCAAACACAAGGAGAATCAAATGTCACACAAGAGTGTGAGAGCAAAAATATATAGAATGTCCGAACAAGTGTGTGAACACAAGTGTGTGAGCGAATATTCAAAATGAACAAATCAATAGACAGTCTTAACATGATTGGCTAATTATAATGGAATATCGATCCATGTATACATAGTAAAATATATCAGACTGTCAAACAAACACACATATTATATGGATGTATATCACCAAGGACAGACTGTCAACAAACACACATATTATAAAAATATATACCAGTAACACGTGGCTTCAGTTCATGCGGCCTTGCAACTTAATAAGCTGCTTTTTCTTACGTTTGAGGTTAAATATTTATTTTCTGGTTGATTTGAATTTACAGCACACGTAGAGATAGTCGACTGGAACCTGAGTGGAAGGTGAGGAGTTATAGGTGGGTCCGAGGGTGACATAGAGGAGAGGATGTGAAGAGAAAACGAAAGTTTCTGGATAGTTAGAAGGCCGATGGAAGAGATTTCAGAAAGTAGAGTACAGGTCACACCACATGGCTGGTGTTATTTTCACAGTATAAGACCGCTAGTCCCACACCTAACCTGTCCTCCTTTCCGGCTTATTACGGGCTAGGAGACTAGGCGTCATATGGAGTGTTTCAGCCAGGAATCGAACTCAGAACTACTGAATGACTAGTGAGCATTCTACCATAAAACAACTCACACCTTTTTCAAAGCGCATCTCATTTTGAAATGTTTTAACCACCCAGCTACTGGTTTTTTTGATGATATTAGATGGTGTGGGGCAATCGACCACAGGAAGCCTTACAAACTTGACTGATTGAATTCAGTCTGCACCAAAGAAAGGACTAGACACATCACAATAGTTACTGACTAATGTCCTATCAAAATATCTACTACAGTCCTACAGGAGGTCAATCGCGAGCCCAAATAGCTCAGTGGTAACGTCTCTGACTGCAGCACTGGGTGACGCTGGTTTGAATCTCAGAAAGGACATGAGTTCCTTCAAGGTGATTGAAGATACGCCTTTCTGACTGACTGATGAGTTCCAACTAACACGAAACCTAGGTGGCCTCCAACTATCTAATATCATCTGGTCAATATGTCCCGTGATAGCGAGCTACCTAGAATGGTGGTCACATCAAAAATCTGACTGATACAATTCACTGTGCTCCAAAGAAGGGACTAGACACATCACACTAGTTACAGACTACTGTCCAATCAAAATATTCAAGGTTAATGGGTGAAAAAGAGAATAAAACAAACTTCAGCTATCACAGGAATCCAATAGAAATCATTGAAGAGTATAACATGAAGACTAATCATTTATCTCTAAATACTTCGGTGAATAAATGCTATTCTCTTGACCATTCTTTACCGAAACAAGGTACTTGGATAAGCTTATTCGACAAAAGAGGGGGCACTCATTAAAATTATATAGTTAAATGTTAACTGAGTTCGACAGTGAAAACTTTTCATCCTAGAAATCAAACCTGACATATTTTTAAGACTCTATTTAACCTCAATATTAATTATAATGAAGACGAACTGACCAAATAAGGCTATTTCAAAAAATGTAACTTCAGGTATATTTTCGACCACATATTTCTCTTATTCTCAAGTTATTTAAACACAACAGTGATTTATATTCTCTTTATATCATTTAAGTGGAATAAACAAGAACAAAGTCATAAATTTCTATTCATACATTTTTATTATTTCACTGTGTACACAATAATATTTTCTTCAAATTGTCTGTGATGAGTAATTTATGGTCATTTGGCGAGTTAATAATAATGATTCACTCATTCCAAAGTTGTATAACTTTACAGTAAAAATGTTCACATCTGAACAATATTTATGAGCTTGTTTTCAGTGATTTAATTTCTCTGTATTTTGTTTTTGATTGGAGACTAGTCAGTAAGTAGTGTAATGTGTCCAGTCCTATCTTCGGTGCAGACTGAATTCTATCAGTCAAGCTTTCAATGTGGCCACCATGCACTAGGTGGCTCGCCATCATGGTGTACTGTGAATTGTAGGTATTAGATGGTTGGAGGTCTTCGACTTAGGTTTCGTACCAGTTGGCACTCATCACCAAGGCGTATCTGCAGTCACCTCGAGGGAACTCATGTCCTCTCGGAGATTTGAACCTGCGTCACCCAGTGCTGCTGGGTGTCCAATCAAAAACCATCCAATGCAGCCCTATGGGAGGTCAATCGCGAGTCTGAATAGCTCAGTGGTAACGTCTTTGACTGTAGAACTTACTGGGTGACCCGGGTTCGAATTTCAGAAAGGAATACGGTTTCCTTCAAGGTGACTGCAGATACGCCTTGCTGATGAGTGCCAACTAACACGAAACCTAGGTGCAGCGGGGCTTCCTGTGGCCAACTGCCTCCAACCATCTGATACCAATTTTTCGGCATATTTCATGTGATCTGTACAGGTAAAAAATCACTAAGTGGTGACATAGTGAAACAAGCTTAAAGGCAAAAAATATTACGTTATTCAATCCGGAGATTTTGAGTGAAGCAAAAAAAGACTTGATCGGTACACATACTAAATGCATCTAATTCTCTGTCATCACCTTACGCTAGCTTTACAAACGATCATCCACTCATCACACCACCTCCAACTTGTCACTTTCTGTTTGAGTTCCACTTGAGTGTCTGACGTGTGGTAAGATTACGTGAATGTTTCTTTAGTGTGCATCTAATCAATCCATCTTTTCTTCTGCATATATTTTGGAACATGATACGTTCTTCGTTGATTTGACGTTCTTGTTGACTACTTATCCTTCCTGGCTGAACCTCAAGACAACAGAGAGTAGGTGTTGATGATAATTTTTCAGGAGTGTTTTGAAAAGGCTCCACATTGATGCCTGAAGTTTTGAAACTACAGGGAAGAGCTTACTTGACATTATAGAATAAATTTTGAAAACAAACAAAAAAAAATGAAGTGAAAACATTTTAGTTGTTGAACGCTGACTGAGTGTTGTTCGTTCAAAACAGGTATACTGTACACTACTGAGTTCAAGTGTTGGTTTGTAGGGATTTCGATTGGTCACAGAATTTCATCATGAGCTGACATTAGGTAGAGAACCATTGGAAAACCTGGAGTACTTGACAGCCAGCTTTTTCGTCCTAGTTCGAGACTCTTCATCACCATGGATCCACCGGGGTACTAATGCAGGACCTTCTGGTTACAAGGCGAGCCCGTATGACATTAGGCCACTGAGAATCGATCCAATGGCCCGTAAATTCTAACTTCTGCCATGCTACCCTAGCCAATGTCTTTGGTGAGTGTTTTTCCTCGCACCCGACCTGCTGCACCCTACTGGTCACAACTTCCCACTAGAAGATTGATTAGGGGTCGCGCTATGTCGTGAATTGGCAGAAGTTAAAATTTAACGGGCCATTGGATCGATTCTCAGTGGCCTAATGTCAAACGGGCTCGCCTTGTAACCAGAAGGTCCTGCATTAGTACCCCGGTGGATCCATGGTGATGAAGAGTCCCGAACTAGGACGAAAAAGCTGGCTGTCAAGTACTCCCAGGTTTTCCAATGGTTCTCTACCTAATGTCAGCTCATAATGAAATCCTGTAACACTACTGAGTTCACTGACGTGTTATGAATTACAACCTTACTTGGAAGATATACTTATACAGACTAACTTTGAGGTAGTTTAAATGAACGTTTTAAACAATAATTTATGATATTTCATGCGACAGTAAGAATACTGAGGTGCCACCCTAACTCTTCAGTAATTTCTTGAGCTAATCTCTTAGACTTCAAACAAGTACAAAATTGTAAAGAAATTAATAACTTTACTTCACTATAATCCACATGGATAAGATATTTTCTACTGTTGTAACGTTAAACCGATGCTAGAAGGATTTTTTAACACAGGTATGAGGAGTGTATCCTGGATCCGTGTGCACAACTAGTCATGACGGAAAAGATCATGCTATGAACTATCCATTTAAAGTAGTGAGTGGTAAATATGTGGGCCAATTGTTGAAGCTTAAATTCCTCCCTTATGGTTTAAAATAATATGAATACAGGCAAATGAGTTCAATGGTCCTCCCCGATGTATACTCATGTACATTGTAGTGTTGTACTATTTCGCTCATTGTTCACACTGCGATAACAATAGGTAGACTTAGAGGCATATATAAGTAGTATTATTCGTTATTATTATTATTCGTTTCGACAATGCTCACTCTAAAATCTCTAGGTGAAAAGGTATTTAATCTGTCCGCCAAATTTGACAATAGAATTCAGTCGATATTCGCTGAATAAAAATTCCAAGAAATTAAGGAAATTTCACGGAAACTTCAAGTAACAAGAAGATAAGAAGACGGTCGAGACTTCAGAGATTCCTGTTCGAAATGTATTCACCAATCCGATAACTAGTAACCAAGTTGTTTGTCGGCTAACGCAAACATCAAGTAATTACAGTGAATAATATCGGTGAATGTTATTACTTTTCCTAGTGAGCGGAATACTCTGATATCTTCATAAGATGGAGAGTACAGTTTGTCGATATGTTTAGAATTGCCGATCTGCGATACTCGGGATTTCCGTCTCAACTGAAATTAGTTATCCAGTGTCTTTAGAGGATTTCGATTTCTTGGTGAATTGACAGAAGTTAGAATTCATGGACTGAACATTGGATCGGGTTCAAGTGGCTTCATGGTCTACGAGCTAGCTCGCCTTCTAATCAGAAGGTCCTGGGCTCGAACATCAAGCGGTCGGTGCGTGGCGCTGAACAATCCC